TTTAGATTTTAGTCATATTTTTAAATGTATTATTTAAATAAAATGCATATATTAAAAAATACACATCAAGGCCCCCCCCCCCCATTTTGATGCTACATGTCCCCCTGAGGCCTCCTACTCTGCCATGAAGTGTTTTGAAGAATACAGGGAAGCAGCCCTCTAGCATAGTTTAGACTTCCCACTGATCTCAGAATTCAAAATATACTTCTTTTTAGCTTTGCCGAATCTGGCCACAACAGAAAGTAACTCACTCAAATCTGCAATTAGACATTAAGAAAAAAATTCCTGCTAGCAAGGGAACTCCCACATCTCTCTTGCAGCTGTAAAGCTATCAAGCTTCCACTGCTACATCAGGATGTGGGGTGGGAAGGAGAGGCAACTAGAGCCAAATTGGCAGCAAGGTAATTCTACAAAAATTATCTAGACTTGGCCAAAGAATGATAGAGAATAATCAGTACTCCTTGCCAGTGAGTCACAAAAGTAAAGAAAATTTGAAAACTACATTAGTATTTAAAAAAAAAAAAGGGGGGGGAGCTCATTACAATTGAATATATTCATGGTATTTGTTGCCAACACAAGACAACGTAAAATGCACGGCCATTTTCACGCACATTTTTAATTTCAAATGGTTTCTCCACCTCTTTCTCTTTTCCTAAATGTAGTTTCTTGGAACCCTTCCAGCAGGAGGATCTAGGCTGTCAGGAAATGTTTGTGTCTTTAAAAAAAATATCACCAGGCTTAACTGCATTGCAACCAGCAGAGAAGTTAAGGAGCTCTTAAGGACACAGAGTACTTTCCACTGATAGAACTGCTTCTTCCAGCAGAAATCTTCCCTCCAATTCTTTGCACAGTCTTAAAAATCTTCAGAGGCTTAAGGAATACTTTAAAACAGATTTCAAGAGGTCTAGGGAGTTGCAAGAAGAAATGAAGGAAAAGTTCTGTTGCCTAGCTGAACATCCATGTGGCTCCCACCTTGTTTGCCTTCCACCAGGCATGCAAGTTCTCCCAGGACTTGGGTTAAGGTGGATGGAGCCCCTTATTGGATGGGTTTTTCTATCAAACAACCAGATCCCCATCTTGTTTTGTTTTATATTGCATATTTATATTGTGAGCTGCCCAGAGTCAGTTTAAAGTTGGATGGCATCTAAACTGAAATAAATAAATAAACAAAACATTGGATTTTACCCATAGTTGATTTCTGAAAACTAAGGCTTTGAATTTACCAATGCAAGATTTCCATGTTTAATGCCAAAAAAATGCCTAGAGATGCTACTACCTGTATCTAGGTGAGTGAATATAAGATTTCCTGGATAATCTTATTTTAAATATACATTTTCAAGGCTTCTTAAAACCTTAATTCAGCTACTACATAGTGAAACTAGTAAAAATTATCTCTGCAATTTAATGAAGCAATAGGAACTAAAATCAATCACCATTTTATAGCACTTCACCCCAGATTGCAGGGCATGGACTAATGGTCAACTGCAGGAAGGCAGATTCCAGTTACAAGTTAAGAAAACTTTCTAATGAAAAGCCAACACTGACTGTAGAACGAATTACATAGGGAGAAGGTGTAGTTCTCTTCACAGGATATGTTCAAGCAACACTTGGACAGACATTTGTTGGGGATGCTACAATTTGGACTCCAGCACTGAGCAGGGATTTCGACTTGATGGCCAGGCCCTGAAGGTCCATCCACCTTCACCTCTGATTCTATGATACTCTAAGACAGCTTATGCAACAGGGATTCTTGAAGAGAGCATGATACACATCTTTCCATCATGATGTCCCTGCCTTCACAAGTCTCCCAATCTTCACAAAACATTTTCCTGGTCTAATACTATGTACACTTTTTATAACTTCTACTTAAGAAATCAATTTCAAAATAGCAATTTCCAAAAAGTCCACATTTAAAAGACACAGCCTTTAAGGAAGCTCAGCGGCATTATCTCAATTTGTGAGCATATAACAAAAATAACATAGCTAAATCTTGATATACTACATTGTTTACCTAATAATAATAGTAATAATAACAACAACTATGAGATTAACAAATTTCTGCTCCATACAATACTACATGATTCCCACAACCTGCTTAAAATTGTCCTGGAAAACACTGTGTTTTTGCTACAGGGTAACACATAGACTGGTTTTGAATCTGAAGCAGACTTCTATTAAGTGCACAAAGCAATTTGTACCCCCCCCCAAAAAAAATTCAAAGGTAGCTTTGGTAACAAAAATAACAAAATGCTTCAGTGGCAACAACAGCAATCATCACCACCTGGAAGACAAGTAATGACATACTCAGTGAAAAAGTGAACTCAGGGATGGGGTGGTTTTACTAAAGTCTACAAGCTCCTCAAAACTCCTAAGGCTTTTTTAAGCAATATTTTTACTGAAAATCCTAGCTTTAATATGATATGGAGGTATGCGGAAGAAAAGGTAATTGATAATTTTACTGCTGCAGAAAATAGTTTACACCAGTCACAGTAAAACAACTATTGCTACCATCTTAAGAAACAGTGTGGGCATATGGTGTATCAGATAAATGAACATAAAATATGGCTTTATCAAGAAAGAAAAAGGCAGTAACTGGATGGAAAAAACATTCACCTGCTTTTGTTCTTCTCCTAAACTATCCCACATAGATGCAACGATTTTTGACACATCCCCAAAGGTAGCATTGGGGTTTTGTCCTTTAATAGCTGCTTGTGTGTCTCTGAAGAAGAGAGCGTAGGCAGACACTGGCTTCTGGGGTTCATTAGGATCCTTCTTTTTCTTCTTCTTTTGGTTTTTGGGTTTCTTGCCCAGATCTGTCAAAGGTCTCTTCTCTCCAGTTGCCTATCAAAAGTCAAGAAAAAAATATTATTTTTTCCCTCCTTCAGTTACTCTTATTGTAGAAGAAACATTCTAGTTGATTTTGAACTGGGGAGAAAAAGCCCACACAATAACTAAGAGAAGTTTAAGGACATGCACTTCAGGTAGCCTCCTCTAAAGTTAAGAACTTTGTTCCTAAGGAAATGCAATGCAAATATACCATTTCTGTTACAAATGTTCTCTTCAACAGCCTTGACTTTTGATAACTTATTGCCCCAGAACTGGTCTTTATCTGTGTAATTACACTAAAACAATTATATACACAACACACTTTTGTTGCTACCTTAAGGGAAAGTTCATTCACGTACATGCACATTGCTTGATTTCTCATTATTGGCCATTCAGATATCTGCAGACCTGTCCATGGATATGTGATATACAGGTAGTCCTTGGTTAACAATGGTAATTGGGACTGGAATTTCCATCACTAAACTATGTGATCGTAAAGTACAGTATGATGTCACGGGACCGCATTGCATAGTGACGGCAATCCTGGCAGTCCCTGTTGCCATTGTTAACTGAATTCTGCTAGTGATTAGGCGAGGACCCACCCCAATTCAAGCCATTCCTGGCTTGGACCATCCCAGCCCTGAGCCTCAGTAAGGTAAGGGACTGCCTCTCTTGAACTCCCCTGCCTATCTCCCTTCCATCTCTCCCCTTTTGGCCACCTGCCTACCTGCTGCCACCAGCTGCCCCCACCGCTTAACCCTGCCCACTGGGCTTCTTTTGCTGGCATGCGCAAGACAGCCCTGGCTAGAAGGGCCCTTCTTTTGTGCGGGTGGCACTGAGGCCTTCTTTCATGTGCTGGGATTCTTTCGCTGGTGTGTGGAAGACAGCCTTGGCTGTGCTGACTCAGCTAGAAGGGTCCTTTTCTGCTGGTGCAGCCAGAGCCTTCTTTCATGTGCTGGGCTTCTTTTACAAAAGAAAACCCTGGGCAGGGCACAAAGAGAGGCCCTGCCTGGCACATGAATGGAGGTCTTTCCTGGCATGTAAATGGAGGTCCTGGTTGGCATTCAAATGGAGGCCCTGGCTGATGTGTGAATGGAGGCCCTGGGCTGGGTGGAAGAGAAGAGGCTGGGTGCAAGAGAAGCCCCAGCTGCACTGGTGCAAAAGAAGGCAGCATGAAAGAAGGCCCCAGCTGGTACAGTAGTGCAGTGAGGCTTTCCAAAGCATTGCGAGAAAGGTGTGTGGTATTTGGAGAACGGTGTGAGCTATTTGGAGAACAGTGTGTCCAGCCTCAGGAAGAAGGCCTGGTGCAGTCAGCAACTGCCTCGAATAGGGCCAGGCCAGGAGTGCCTTGTCAGCAGTGTGAGGAAGACAGTGAAGGTCAGCTGGGCAGGGCAGGGCCTGTGGATTGCAGGGTGGCGGGGGCGGCTGGTGCTTTGCTGTGGCACTGGGGTGGCTGGCCACAACGTGGAGCCTGAGGCAGCACTCCTCAGCTGCCACCACTGAGGAGGCCAAAAGGGTAGAGATGGGGTGAGAGATGAGTGGGTGGGGGGATTTGAAGCTGCCCTGTGTTCTTAAGTGTGGGCAGGCTGCCAAGTACCTGAATCTTGATCACGTGACTGTGGGAGTGCTGCAACAGCCGTAACTTTGGGGACCGGACATAAGTACCATTCGTTCAGCACCACCATAATTTTGAATGGTCACTGAATGAATGGTCATTAATCAAGGACTACCTGTACATTTATTCATATGTACACATGGAAAAGGAATGAACATTAATTTGAATTGAAAGCTAGACTGACTTGATTGTTTATGATGAAAGACTGAGAGAATTGGCAAAGGATGATGAGAGGTTCTGAGTATTAGAGCATTTTTTGTCAAGAGGTTATCTTGGGAAAAATGAACATAGAAGAAAAAGAAAGCAGTAAAAGAAAGTAGAACAAGTACAGGAAGCAGAATGTATGAGTCCTATATGAAAAAGTAATAGAAGATAAATTAATCTTCCAACAGAATGAATGGCAAGTGACGTAAGGAAAGAGGATATGGAAACTATTTGGAACAGACTTAAAATAATTATGTTACAGAGTGTGGCAGAACTGTGTGAAAATATCCTTATGGGAAGTATTAAAGGGATATTTAGATGAGAAAAATGCACATAAGACAATGATTGCTGCAAAAAACAAGGATTAAAAAACAATCATAGATATATTGAGAGAAAAATATGCAGTAGTTGCAAAAAAAAGAGCAAGGAATAGTTAAAAGAGACAGAAAAAATGCAGAGCAATTTTGATGGAAATAAAAAGTGGTTTTGGAAATGAGGGGAGAGGCTAAACAAGTAGTCCCAGAGTGAATGGAATTCAAATAAAACTGATGACATCATTTTGGATGTCTAATCAAACTACATTGCTACTTATTAATTTGTATTTATTTTTAACTCACTTGCCCACAAACAGAATCTTGAGCTGACTAGAAGTACAGACATTCATGGCTAAAATATCTGTCCTAATTTTTGAACTTTCTTCCCTGTTCTTTGTTTTTTGTTTTGTAACATCTCAACTTGAAAACTTGCAGCATTGTAAGCTATTCTGGTAATTCCTAATAATGCAGTATCTAGCTATGTTATTTAGATTTTGGAAGCTTTGAAAAGGACCTGGAAGCTTCAGGTAACCCAAGGTAAGATGACTAGAATTAACCAGAATTTATCAATTAAGAAATGATTACATTATGCAGCATTTTGTTATTTGAACTGATTGCCTGTCTTTTTTCAGGTCCAGTTCAAAGTGCTAGTTTAACTTTTAACAACTCTAAAGAGCTGGTGCAGGTTACCATCTCTCCATTATTCAGCTGTCCACCAAAAGTCATCAAGTTGCTGTAATGAGTTTTGCTGGATGCCTATATTACAATATTTTCAATACTCAGTAAAAGTCTTTTCATTCTCACAGTCAACTTAAAATAGTTTTACTAATTTTGTACAATTTTATTTTGCTCCAATTTTATCTTGATTTTATGTACTGTGTTGTTTTTACTCTTGCTACTCTTGCTACTAGTTTTATTATATAATGATTTTATAACTTCATATTGGTTATTTTATTGATGGCAGTTTTTGTGTGTTTTTACTACCCAGAGAATTTAACTTATTGGGCAGTCTGGAGATGCAACCCATAGATAGGTAAACATATTTGTTTAGTTTAATTACAAATTTAAAAACTGAGTCTAAGCATCAAAATCACATTGTGGAAAACAAAAATAGAACACAGAGAAACATGGATATGGCAAATGTTAGATTCAGAAGCAGTTCTCAAGCCAAGGTACTGTAAACGGTATTGTGTCTATAGGCACCAATGTGTGTGGAGACACTTAGTTTAATAAAATGTTATATTACTTTAAATCATCATCATCATCATCATCATCATCAAACAACATCTGCTTATCTCAGGTCCTTGGGAAGGACTCGATAGGTTGATAAAAATGCCAAATCCAGTCTAAATATCTGGCTGACTGTGCAACCAACAATAATAATAAAATGAAAAACTGACTGTAACATGACTCTAGCATCATCTTTTGGTTTGTTACATCATATAGGTCCTATGGGCATTCTTAGAATATAAAAATGGCAGGTATCTGTAGCTCGTTACTCAACTTGTGCAGGAAAAAAAGGGCATTATAAATATTATTTGTAAGATTTATATTCTGCCTTTCCTCCAGGAGCTCAAGGCACCCCATCTATAGTACTCTTCCAATTTTTCCTAGAACCCAACCCTGTGGAGTAGATTGAGTAATGATGTAATAACCTGGCCAAACTTAACCAGTGAGCTTCTGTGGCTGAAAGCAGTCTGAAACCAGATCCCCCTAATTTGAGTTCAGTATCTTAATGTCTGTACTACACTGGCTCTACAGAGGAGACAATGGAGAACAGCTTCACCAGTCTGCTTTCTGGTAAACGGTGACTTGTCAGGCGCATCATGTCAGTCATTTTCTAGATAGACAAGACTATCTAGTCTTGGTATACCATGGTAGCCATGGTATAAGAATCTCCATGACCTGTTCTAAAAACTTCAAATGTGTCCACGGCTAGTTCTACCAGTTTTGGGTGAAATTATCTTGGTGACTACTAGGTGGCGGTGAAAAGTTTCTATATTCCTTTGATACTATCTAGTGGTTGCTTGGAGTTTGCACCCCAAATCTGATAGCCCATCACTGGGCCAAAGAGTTTGTCTAATCTACCCCAAAACACAATCCAGAAGTAGAGATGTTAAAGGCAGGTTCTACTAATGAATTACAAATAGATGTCTTCAAATGCACTCCTGCTATATTTAGTATATATAAAGTGAAGCATGAATATATATTTTAAAGAGAAGAGGGAAAAACTTTAAAATGATTACATGAGATCTGAACACCAATCCATTAAGGAAAAAGATAGTAAGTGCATTTGTCAGGCTATCATAGTGGTCAGGAAAGTTCTACAAGTTTGGATTTGAAAAGTAGGAAGACAAAAGTAATAATGCTTTCTTCATATTCAGGTCTGATTAACCTTTAATCCAATTCTTAATGAGTCAGAATAGGACATGTGTTGGGTAGGAAAATGTAAGGCACAAGCACTGGATAGGGGAGACATGGTTTGGCAGTAACACATGTGAAAGGGATCTGGGTGTCCTTGTTGACCATAAGTTAAACATGAGCCAGCAGTATGATGCATTGGCTAAAAAACCAAATGCTATCTTGTGGTGCATAAACAGGAATACAGAGTCCAGTTCATGAGAAGTAATCATTCCATTCTACTCTACCTTGGTCAGACTCCATCTGAAATACTGTGTCTAGTTCTGGATACCACAGTTCAAAAAGGACAGTGACAAACTGGAGCAAGTTCACAGAATGACTATCGGGATGATGAGAGGTCTAGAAACCAAAGTCCGTGTTAAAGAAGCTGGATAATTTTCTCTAGAGAAAAAATAACTAATGGAAGATGTGATAGCAGTCTTCAGATATTTGAGAGGCTATAACACAGTTCAGGGGTGGGG